CCACCATCACCAGCAGCGTTCAGGAGTGGAGAGCCGGGAGCGATAGGAGGTTAGCAGACGGCTGGTAGAGAATGGGGCGATAGGAATGTACCAGCTGTCTGCTACCCCCATCGCCCCATATTCTTCCACTCCTGGACGCTGATGGTCGCTGGCCACTAGATCGATATCTATACTTTTGGTCGTCGACCCTGCCGGACGCTGGGAGTCGCTGGTAGACGCTACTGCAAAGTATGAACGCAGCCTTGAGGAGTGTGTACTACATAATTCATGACGAGCTCCGCCTGCAGCGGTTGAACACTGTCTCTAGCATGTGGTCTAAAGGTTGGTAAAAAGAAATTGATAGTGGATGACAAAAAGTGTCATTCGCCGAGGACAAGATTGAAATCTTCGCCGTTGATAAATCCCTTCTTGGGATGCGACACGCATTCTAGTTCCATTCAGAATTCAGGTTCCCTGAATGCGTTGTGGCCCATAAAATGAGATGACGGAAATAGCCGATGTGAAAGCCAGTAATCTTATCCTCGCAGATCTGCAACCAACTTACCGCCCCCTAAGCGCAGAAGGCTTCATTGGCCTGGGTGGGAGCCGACCCGGGATTTCGCCCACAGATCGCAAGCGTAGGTAAGCGCGCCACTTGTCCTGACACTACCTCCCGCCACATGGCCGATAACAGCTGAGAAGATAGCTGGCACTAACAGTGAGTTCACCTTGCGACGCAACAGCAGTGCTAGTCCCAACAAGTGATCTGATGGGAAGACAGCTGGTGGGTGATAAAGAGTGATAGGAAGTGATAGTGTATGGTAAGGAACGCTGGTAAGAAACTGATGTTGAGTTATAGGACATTACTGCGATGTGTGTTATAGGCACATTCTGCTGAAATAAGGCTATGACTCTCACATTGTGGGAACGATTCCGGGAGGGGCGATTTTTGAGGGCTTGCGCTTACTTTCAAAGTTGTTGAAAAAAAAACTCCGCTAGAAGCTGTGACTAATTAGCCCATGGACACCCCTTTAGGCCCATGCCGACCCTCACCAGCTGCTAGCTACTAGCTAGTAACCACTATGTTATCTTTCTCTATAACATTTCGGACTGCTTTTTTCTTTCGGGTTGACGCGTTAAAGAGGCATCGTTTTTGCCGCACCGCACCGCGGCGATGGGCGCGGGGTTCTCATCAATCGTGTTAAAGGCAATTCCCGCGACCACACTTCATAGGTAATACAGTTCAAAAATAGATTGCCCTGTGGTTGTTGACTTATTGAAGGGAAGGAACCACGAAAAAAGCGCCCGCGAATAAGACCCTCTTTATTTCAATTGATCATGATCACCGGACGAGCGTAAGGTGGTCAAGATCGATTGTGGATGGCAAAAGGCGGCGAGACACTGATAAGAGACGAGAGAGGCCAGAAAACGACGAGCGAGAGAGCGCAATGGCAGTCTCACAACGACACGGTCACTGGAGGCCGGCATGGGCCTAACGCGGCCCGCCAATGGGACCTAAATTGAGCGCCGCTGCGTTTTGCTTGTTTTGCCTGTTTTTCAACTTTTTGTAAGCAGCATTTAGCCTCTCGAACGTTGCCTGCTTGACGGTCAGGCCACGGTTTATGAAGAACCTAGCCTAGTTATCGCGGAAGTAGACCTTTAACGCCCGTCGAGCGCGGGGGTGGTTGAATGGAGCATCGGACTTCATGTAGACCCCGTCATCGTGGACAGTCATTACTGTTTTCGGTCCGTCATGCATGTTGTCGCCATCTACTACCTGAAAACTATCGTCCTTTGCAGGCGAGACGTCGCACGCGACGCCGTAGCAGCGGGCGAACGAATTTACGATCCTGTTGTACATACCGCTTTTTTGCCTGCGTTCTCCACTAATCAGATAATTTAGCTTTTTAGCCTACTGAGGTCGTTTTCCCGCAACTATTTTGCGGTCGCGACTTGCCTATAACAGTGCATCTCTCTGTAATGTTTACGCGTTTTCACGTTTCCAGAGAATAACAGAAAGCACAGTCGGTAGAGGTTGCTCAGGTGTGGTGCGAATGTTGGTTGGCAACGAGAAGGGGCAGTGCTGCCGACTTGGGCAGGAGGCATTTTGCACTTTTCTGCTTCCCATCAACGTGTCGACCCATCTAGGAGCTATTTCGTGAGCTCACAAGAGTTGAGAGGTTCCACCATGGTGGCCAGACGAGCTTGCTCCAGATTCACAAGACTTCACAGGTTTCACCAAAGTGAGACATGTAAACCGGAACTAGTTAAGCAGCAAAAGTGCAAATCTGGTCTGTCGCCGAACTGCGCCACTAGAGGTAATGGCAGTGCACATTATGTGCCTAAGGATATCAAGTCCCATTGGGCTGCGTTCATACTTTGGGGCAGCGATCAGACCAGCGTCTGCCAGCAGTCACTTAGCGTTTGAGCCGGTCCGGCGTAGCTGTTGGCCGCGTGGCGAAAGGCTATAGGTATCATTTAGTTGTTTGCCCAGCCTCGTCAGCCGTCATTAGCATCGCCCGAGTGATTGGGAAGCGTAGGTTTCGATCTAGCGTCTGCCAGCGCGCACTAGCGTCTACCAGTGTCCGGAAGAGGAGAGTATGGCGCGATAGGAGGGATAGCAGACAACTGGTCCCTCCTATCTCCCCATACTCCACCATCTATCTGCTATCCTAGATATCTTTGAATACATGGTCACATGAACGGAGTCACGCCGGCCATTTGTGCCTTACTCGTCGCTTTCCCACTGCGATGTTAAAGGCGTTGGCACGATAAATCCCCCAAAACGACTAGACCGATACTCTGGGAGGATAGAATTCCGTGACTTGGCGGGCCCTGCCATTAGGTGGTTTCCAAGGAAGTTGCCTTATAAGGGCCCTATCAAGCCACAACATTACGCCGCCCGCCCACAAATGGACGACCGTTTCCTGACGCTCGTATTCATTCATTTGCTAAGCAAATTATGAAGCGAAGGGATTGGTATGAAGCGGCGTGATGCTGCATGCATATATGCGGCACATATATTGGGAGAGTATCTTCGGTAGCGGTTGATGGCCAGATTTACAGGAAACTCGTCCGAAATCGATTTTCAAGTCACTGAGAACGGAGGCTTTTTCTTCGCAGGATTTTGACCGTTTCACTCCGTTCTTTCGCCATTTCCCCACTATACAGCGTCCCTACTTCATTTAGGCCCCTAAGTTAGAAAAAACCTTCGTTGGCCAACTGCCCTTTAAGGGGAGTCGGGTGCTTAGTCGACAATGAAAAAGCCATAACGGTACGTCTAGCTATGCATATCACGTGCGCACCGTCTCGAGTGGGTGAGGAGTGAAAGCAGAACTACAGTTAGTTGTAATTCGAAGTCGTAATATTACTTGGTAGTTATTCGAAAAGACACTTAGTTCGCCTTCCACAAATGAATGTATATTAACAGAACCATTTATTCAATAAAACCATGAAAATCGGTACATATATGGTACATATAAGTCAACAACAAACCGTACTTAATCAACTCGTGATATTATTAAATCACTTGAGACAATAAATTATATAAGAATAGGATATCCTATTTGATATGATAAGAGATAGAAAGAGAAATTATTGAGGTGAGACCTTCACAGTAATGACTTTGGCTACGAACTTGAGGTTCGATTTTCGCTCAGTGTTATAATTCGTTCACTAAGCGGAGAAGGGCAAAGCGACGAAAGTGCCCCCAGCTAAGGTCATCTACAGCTCGTCGTGACCAGATAGTATTTCCAACTGCTCTTGGACTAATCGAATGATCTCGTCTTTGCTGTGCACCTGCAACTGCAAACCCCGTACATTTTGTTGCCGCCCATCGTGTTGACCTTTGTAGAACCGAATTGTTGGATAGGCTTGGACCTAAAGACATAGTTCATACATTGGTAGGGAGTTTGCTCAGCACAAATATGTTACCTGTGCTCCACGACATACTCCTGGCCATTGATCGCAGTCCACTTTTCCAAGTTTCACCTTTCCTTCGAGCGCCTAGGAATCCAAGGTTTTCTGATACAGTGTTATGAAAACAATATAACCACGGGTGTACGGCGGGAAATCCACATCGTAGCGATGCGCAGAAACCACATTCAGTATCCGGAAGATAGGGAGGGCGTGGCCGCGCGCTTTACTTGTACCGCCTTCGGCCAAGCTTTTAGTGGGATGTTGGTGTTTTGCGGCGATCGCAATAATGTCTTGTTCTGCACAGCACGTGCTGACAATTGCTCTGAATTGAAATATCCCACGAACCCCTTAGTGAAATGTAGTATGCAGCCACGCCCACCCCATTTCCAGGACATGGGATGTAGATGAGTACACCCGACCTAGGGGACATATTGCCGCATTTCCACGGTTCCCACGATATCAGTGCTGTATCGCCACAATGCAGATCTCTAGCACAACACTTTACAACCAGAAGCACACCCGGATAATTCATACCTTTGCAATCTGCTCGAATACTGGCGCAAACTGCACACAATGTCCGCACCACGGGGCGAAGAAGTCGACCAGCCATGGTTCGTCCGAATCCAACACCTGAAGATCAAGTTATATGCACTTTCCACTTGTTTGCTCTGCTGGGATCCTCTGACCAGGGCTGTCCATATTGTCCAGACTCAATTCTTGCATTGTTCAATGACTTATTGGGTCATGGTGACCAAAGGCAGCGTTCATACTACGCGATGACGCGCGAAGACGCGCTGCGGTGAGCATCATCGCGAGTGCAGCTCAAAGTGGCACGTACTGCGGTTATCGGACGATTGGCACATTTTTTAAAGACAAGTGGCACGATAAATCCGCAGTACGTGTAAGATTAATACGCCTAGCAGGACAGATTTCGGCGTCCTGAGGAGGCGCTGCATGGCACTCCTGTTGAAAGTACCCCTATAGCGCCCTATCAAGCTGCAACATACCGACCTGTGCGCCCATCGCGTCCGCAATTGTCTGAGCGTGCTGATGCTCGTCATCGGCTTCATTTTGCGGAGTACAATATGAAGCGAAGGGGTAATAGGGTGATACGAAGCGTTTGCGGCGCTGCATGGATATATGAGTACATACATGCAGCCGTATCTACCGCGTTAGCGGGGTATTGGCACGATGAACCAACGGCCAAACTCGTCCGAAACTGCTGTTTAGGCCATATGAAACAAAGGTTCTTTCAGCAGGTTTTTGATTGTTCCACTCCGCTTTCTCGCCATTTTCTTATCATATAGCACCCCTGCTACCATTCCAGACATCTGAGTACTAAATTATCGTGCCTTATGCGTTCAAGCCAGCGCCGCGACACAGCCAGATCTGCGAATGGTCCCTGTTCTTAATTAAACTGCACGCTGGATGAGCAAGCTGTGAACCCTAGGCTTACAGTTAGAATGGATTAGGTTGTCTGACAATCGGGAAATGAAGGATGGCAGATTATGGATGGAAGGCCTCTGCGCACCGGAGGAGATTCCTCGCACCTTACTAATAGTGAAGCCAACTTCAGAAGGGCTTCCCTGCTTGCAACTTCTAACTGTTCTCATCTACTCACGTTTACACGGAACATGTACCTTCTTCTAATTTACACGGAAATGCTCTTTCGAGTACCAGCTCACCTTATGCCAGTAATCGTTTCCAAGTGAAGTGACTAACGAAGGCAACATGACGAATACCCATCGCTCGATGGTATCCGAATTCCTCCACATGTTCTGCGGGTAATCACTGGAATTAAGTTATAATTATATGCACTATGAATAGTAGTGGAGTATAGTAAGAAACCTCTTGAATAGTAAGAAACTAAACTGTATGAAAGAGGATTAGGTGGAAAATGAAGTTAAGAGTAAGCAGTATCAAGGTAACCCACTAGAACTGTTGCAGCCGCTTTCGCTTGCCTAGTGCTGGATAGAGACGAATGGATGGATAAGACGACACGGACTGTTGGGTACAGAACGTGCTGTACGCTTGGCAATCGACAGATCCTATGTGAACTCTTTCGTCGTATTTTCGAAGCCGTCGTGCGGCTCGGTGAAGTTCGGGGGCAAGCTGAAATCAGTTGATTGTTCTGACGCGAGGGTATGTGACAAGACAATCGTAATATGACGTGCACGTAGACGTGGTGAGCGACGCTGCACCACGCCACGCCGGACGAGTTTTCCTGCTCGTAGTGTTGTAGTGTTGGCTCGTAGTGTTTGGCTTAGTTGTTGAAGTGACGGGAAAATTTGATATTGCTTACCGTGGAGCCTTGCGTCCATTTAGATTCCTACGTGTTTCGTTGCTCCTAACAAATGCGGATTTGCCGCGCAGTACCGCCGCGCGACGATGCGACAAATTACGATTGTCTTGTTCGTCTCTCCAGACACGAACGTACAGTTCATATAAACCAAGACTTGAAAGGTGAATGTCTATGGAATTAGTTCAAGCGCTGCTGTGACTGCGCATCTGCGGATAGCTGCCTGTTCAGATACTGAGAGAGGAAAGGTCAGAGAGCAAAGTTGAAATTTTTTTCTCAGTATGAATACCCAAGTAAAGGTCGAATGGGGAGAGGGTATATTACACCTGATACAGGAGGAATCATCATTCCAGGTAGTTATCGCCAACCCGGATAGGATCCCTCTCCTTGCCAGCAACCAAGCACGACCCTATCCCCCTACCTGCGCTGTGGATTCCAGTAGCGCGCTCTGAAGTTTGCACCAGCGTTTCCTTGGCCTGTAGACTCTCACTTACGATAAGCACACTCAGCCACGCTTGAAGTGGCAACTACAGTCTTGTTCGCCGCCGATGCTGGGACGTGACACGGGGCTCGGTTTGGCCCTGCCAGCCTCAACAGTCGGTAGAAGACGGGGTGGCGCCGCGTCAAGCCCAGGCCCCCTGACACGCGCCAACATTCGCAACGAAGAAGACCGTACTTATCCCTCATGGCTACAACATTACACATAGACACTCCCCGTTATTCGACGATATATAGAGGGTATGCCCTCTGACGAGAAAGCATTATGCGATGCGTCCCAAACATCTGGAGCGCTATTTCTTTGAAATATTGTCGCTGAGGCGAGTGGGGCGGTGACAAGTATCGCGCTTACCACTAAGCGATATAGATTCATATCCCGGGCTGACTCCCATCCAGGCAAACCAAATCCTTCTATTCCTCCGGGGACGGTAAATTGGTACCAGATTCGTCTGGGAGGATAAAACACTGACTTGTACATCGGCTGGCCACCGCAAGTCATTGTATAGGCCACATCGCATTCAATAAGCCACTACGATTCTGAATGGAAGTAGAATGCGTGCCGCATCCCACAAAGGGATTGATCAACGGCGAAGACTTTATCCTTTATCCTTTGTGGCGCTTACCCCCTTACCTGTTGACAGGGTCCACAACCATGGTGCAAAGAAATCTACCACCCAGGTGACGTCGTCTTCACGATTTTCAACCAAACGTTTGAAATCTTCTGGCGTCAGTTCGTCCACGGCTGGATTGAGGGCATTCTAAAAGGTTCCATTGAGTAGAATGTTGACCTTCAATGAGTCGTAAAAATCTTGAATTTTAGAGTTCGAGGACTGAAATCGGTTACAAACTGGAACTCACATTAATATGTTCCAGTACTGATTGCACGGACTGGTAACCAACAAATTTGTGAACACGATTATCGGGCGTGTGCAGAGCACTTGTAGGATAACTGAAACATAAGAAGGCTTTTACTTGTTCTAATATCTGATCGCAAAATTAACTATGTATCTTTGCAAGCGAAGCAAGTAGTACAGAGGCTGTGAAGGAACGGTACTACCCGGGATTTGGACTCGAACAGGTGAGCCAAATTTGCCTTCCTCAATGGTAGCCAGTGATGGCTGATACCGATATGTCACTGGAAATTACAGTGAAAGCGAAAACATAATCCCCAATTAGTCGAGTCTTGTTCGCTGCGGATGCAGGGGCGTGCACATGTCAAATCATCTGCCACCAATTGTCAAAGTGAACTAGCGACAATAATTGGTGGAATGCGAGCGCTTCGACCGAGATGGGTGTGAGGTAAGGAGCACCAGATTCTAGAGAAGCTATAAAATTTAAAGGGTCTTCCAAGTCAATTGAAAAATCCATCTTCCAGTCATCCACAATTCACAAAAAAGGTGGCTCGGATCCCCTGGCTAGGTGAGAACACTGACATCTTCATCGGAGTGCACATGGTGGTAGAGCGATAGGACAGTAACCTTCCTCCAATCTTTGTTACTGAGGCTGAATAATAATAGCCGCTCAAATATCCTACAAAGAAATACCTCTGCACTCCAGCTTTTTCGCAGACACTTTTGTGTTTAACGCAGTCCACGAGACCCAATTTAATCTTCGAAACGACTTCATCATTCTGGTCGATAATTGAGTGTAGTTGGCGATATTCGGAAATCAGTCGTTGGCATGGTGGACACCACTGAAAAGAAGTACTATGAACATAAGGTGGCATCGTGCCGATCATCGACCGCCCAGAATCAGTAAAGAAGTCCAGGATTATCGACTCGGCGTCTTAGACCACTTCGTGGACCATACCATATTATTGAACGGTTTGTTATTAGACGGAGTGGCTCCATCGGAGATGCTAAGCAAAGAGGCCGGGCGGTGTCAGGTGTCCCACCAGTAGACAGACATAGTGTCAGCGTTTGAAGGCTCAGTCCATGCTGGTCGTATGGGAGGAGTCAGGCCATTTGTTCCTTGTTCCTTCACCATTAGCGCTCGCCTACTCTCCAAGACGACAGAGGAGAGGCGGCCAACACAAAGTTAAGCCTCACTATGCCTTTACGACCAGTGTAGACTGTGCCCCTTTCCAGAGTGCACCTTTGTGCGGTTAAAGGCAGTTGGCACGATAAATCCCTAAATAACAAGTA